GTACTGCCTTGGGGTGTGAATCCAGAGGAGACTTGTGAAATGTGCTGGTACAGCTATTGCCACATGATTTGGAAAGGAATCCTGTAATTGATGAGAACTAGAATATATTGCTGACAGTTATTTACTTACATTCTCCAATCTGATAAGCTAAAAATGTCTTACTTCAGTACAGTAATCAATGTAACCAGCTGTTGTGCAAAAAAAGGTCTTAAAATTAAATATATAAGGTAGAAAAGAAAGGATGGATATGCATGGAATTATGAAAATGGCTTATTCTCTATTGAAATAAGAATATGTAGCACACATCCAGCTCAGCTCAGATATCCTTACACTATACTTTTAATATTTACAAAGATTACTAATCCAATTCTGAATGCAGGGAAGTGGGGTTTTTTCCATTCCCATTTTTCATTCTCATGAATGAGCAACAGTTGACTTTTTGCATTTTCTACCCCATGTTCCAGCTGAGTAAATTTTGGGACAATAATGTCAGCATGTCCCTAGAGGAAAGAGTGTAAAATTTAGAAGGAAGAAAGGATTACAGTGATCACTGTGTGGGAAAGTGGCTAAGGATAAGTAATACAGCAGTTCCAAAGGGAATTGTGCAAGAAACTGGAAAGAGCATTTTTGAAAATATTTGAATACTGGGGAATTTCCAAAGTAAAGCAGCAGTGAAAGATGAGCAGGGAAAAAGAAAAGGACAGAAAACAAGCTCTAGAACACTGATTTTCTATTTCCCTGCATGCTGCTCCTGCAGTTTCTAGGGAGGAAAGCACTTTCTTGTATTCTTGCACAAGGAAAGGGTTACCTCACACGAGTTCCCAGGGCCATTCAGAAGGAAGGAAAGTCATTATGAAGCAATGCTGTTATCCCTGGAACCGAGACAGAGCCAGGAGCCTATGTCTGTAGTTTCACAATCAGGAGTAATCTTCATTTTTTGCACCAGGAAATGGCAAGGGCTGTTCATGATGCTGCTTTTTAGCCTTCTGTCAGCCTCTCCATTGCTTTGCTTGTGAAATACCTGAGGATCACAAGGGCATTCAAGAACCTGCTCTTCCCCCCTTCCCTAGCAGAAAAACTCAGCTTGCCCTGGTTTTCTGTGTGTGCTGTCTCTGAGATCCTTATTGACTTGCAGCACTCACACACCTGGCTTGTATTTCCAGGACTTGTCCTTCCCAAGAGCTGGAAGTGCAGCAGGGAGAGGGCAGAGGTGCAGAGATTTTGGGTCATGTTTAAGCTGGGACTCATGACAGGGGAGTGTAAGGCAAGTGTGAGTCTCTCCAGCAGCTTGTGGCTTCCAGAGGCACATCCTGGTCCTTTTCTACCCTTCCTGCACCAGTTGCTCATGTTCTCCCTCACTCTCCCTTTCAGCTCCAGCTCTGATGCTGGTGGATCTTACTGGAATCCAGTGAGATGGTAGGAAACTGCAGAACTCCAGCAGGGAAGCTGTGTTTTCATTCTCAGCAGCTGCAGGGATAGGCAGACACAGGGCCTGCTGTCTCCACATGGTCTCTTTGGCTCTGTTTGTTCTCTGATTGACCAGTCCTGCTCATTTTGGAGAGGAGATGAAATCCAGATGCTGGTCTTGACTCCTGACTCAAAGACTGCAATATGATTAAACACTTTGGAAAGGCTCACTGTTCTCAGCAGTACAGCTCTGTCATTTACCTGGTAATCCCAGAAAAGCCACAGTTCTCATTTAGGGGATTTTTAGAAAATATTTCCCATGCTTGCTCCTCTTTCTGAGAGGATGAGGTTGTTTTCAGATGGCGTCTTAAAACAAAACTCCCTGTTGTTTCTATATACCCTAAACTAACACAATAAACTTTAAAAAAAAAAAAGGGGCAAAAAGAAAAGGTTGTAGCAGCTGCTATTTTAGTCAATACAGAGTTCAGACAGAGTTTACTGTTGGTATCTTTGGATGCAGACAAGGCTCCCTTTTGTTTTCCACTGCCAATACTTTCAGCTGTTACAGTGATTGTACTAATGAGGTTCAGTCTTTAAAAAAACTGCTGGATTTGGTCCAGAAGGGCACTCAAAGAGTTAAAGACTGAATCAGAAAGTTTCACTGTTAATCTAACCTTGAGCATGGCTCCACTGTTACAGGAAGAATGAAATGCTGATGCTTGCAGTAAACTGTGCCTGGATATCCTCATCGAATCAAGTTAATGGAGAAGAGTTTCCCTTGGGCAGTGGTTTGTGCCATGTGTCCCACTAAGTAGAGCTGTGCAAAAGTTGACTTTCAGTATGTTACTGTCACTGTAGAACACAGGATGTTCAGGTTTGGGTTCCACAGAGCATTTCTCTCAGGTATTGCTTTGTAACCAACAGGAAAGGAAGAAGCAGATCTGCCTTTAATCTTGAAAAATTCAACAAAGATATAGGAACCCCTGAATTCTGCTGGGTCCTTTTTTGCTTTCAGTGATGTGAGGAGTGGTTCCCGTGACTGTCCTGTTCAAGTGCTTTCCCTTTGTTCATACTTACAGCCCACAAAGAGACATCTTTTAAGTGGGAAACTGAAAGTTAGCGTGGCTGAGGAAAATAGTGCCAGAGTAGTGCTGGATTGTAGGTACTTGTCCTCCTCAAGGTGTAGGTTTGTCCTCTCCCAGTCATCCATCACTATCCTGCTGCTGCACTCCCAGTATATGGACTGCTCATGGTCACCCTCCAACCCTTCCGGGGTTTGCAGGAGGAATCTGTTTAACCATTAAAAGCACAGCCAGCAGTGTGTTTTCAAGATTGGAGATGTACTGCCAAGTTTCTCAGCTAGAACTGGAGGGGGGTTTTCCCTGGCATCCTTTGAAATTAAAAGGAAAACCAAAAAACATTAGTTCAGAAGGTACTTAAATGTTAATCTCAGCGAAACAGAAGTCCATGAGTAATTTTAGAGCACATTTCCCTTTTCTGATTTCAGAGTTTGGTTTTCCTGAATCAGGGAAAAGTTAATTTCGTCCTGAATTCCGAGAAATAACAGAGGGAAGAGAGATATGAATGAGATCTTGAATACCAAAATTTCCTGATTGCAAGTATCTCTTTTTCCAGATGTCTGAAAATCTGGGTTTTGTGGGAGAATACCAATGGCCCTCAATAAGGAAAACTTGTTTGTGTGCAAAGGAAAACACTGTGCAAAGGGTAGCGTGTATCAGTTTCTGAAAAACTGTACTGAGTCAAATGCCCATTATTTTTGTTGTTTGATTACTATAGAGACAACTGTGTGTTGTTTATACCAACTATATGTTGTGTATTCCTGGGTTATAATAAACATGACTGGAGGATGAGACAAATGACATGTGAAATACACCCAGTTTGGCTTTTGGTTGCATGCTCTTGGAAACCTTGCTAGACTCTTTTCCAATGGTTTAAACTTAATTTAGAGTTGGGAAATGTAAAATGCACTTCTTAATTTATTACAATAAGAGCTTGGTGACTGAAGGCAATGCTCTGCAAACAAACACCAGCAGAACGAGGCATCCTCTTGGGTATGCTGCAATGTAACTTGGATAGAGTAGAGACAAAGGCAAATGAAGATATTTAGGACACTGGCTTGAGAAGGCAAACTGTGCTCCCAGAAAATGTGAAAGTTTTGAGAAACAAACAAACAAACAAATAGAGGTCAAAATGCTGAGTCCCAGCATGTGAACTGCTAAGCAACCTCTCACCTGGGAGGGTCAGTGCAGACTTTGTGTTCTCATACAGTCAAAGTTGAGTGTTGCACCAATGAGATTGTAAAGGTTACACTTTGAAGGAGACAAGGAGGCTCAGTCTTCATTTCTGTTTCAAAAACACCAATGGGTTTGCCTGTGAGAGGCAGCCCTTGGTTGGAGAAGGTCATAACTATGTCCCAGACATGGTCTGGGGTGACACTTGCTTTCACCTGTCTTCCTTTTTCCACATCTCTTCCTTGACTGCACAACAGTAACTTTCCAGATAGAGATGTTTGATGTGCTGAGTTAAAAAGGAAATCTGATGGAAATTTGGAGACTACAGTTGAATTTTCTATGGCATTTGATGAAAGTGAATGGGCAAAATCCGCTTGAGTCTATTGGTACTGAGTGGTCAGGGATTCCAGCTCTGTTATGAATTTAAAGGGAAGAGCTTTCCCAGAAAGCACCAGAATGACAATTCTTTAAGTGTTATAGAGTAATTTGTCAAAAACAAAACATCAAAGTCATATTGGGATTGAGAGCAAGATCAGCAATGTTTTTCAATGGAATGAAATGAAGAGTCACATTAGAGCTGAAGAGGCTTGTTTACACATGCAGAGTGTATTTGCCAAATGAGACAGAGGTGTGGAGACCAACAAATTATTACTGAGGGACCATGGTTTTATCTCAGAAAAAAAAAAAAAAAGTTGTTTTCTTGGACTATTTTCAGTTCCCCAAGATAACCTTATAGGAACATACAACCACACTAAAGAAATTTTAGCCTATCAAATCCGTTTCTTGAGAAATGAGACGTGAGATAATATTGGTTAGTTATAACATAAAGTTTTGTGGGAGATGTTCGAAGTCTGCACTGAAATATGTGTGTAAATCCATGCAGGTGAATTCCCCTTCTCCCAAATCAAGCTGGGAAAGGATCACAGATAACATCTTTTAGAAAGACAGGTGGCAGATGTGGAGCCCTTTCTTTAACTTCATGAGTCCAAGGAGAACTGAATAAGAGGCTCTTACAGAGCTATTTCACCGTGTAACAATTCACCTGCTGATCGCTGCTCTGTCAGAGATCAGGTTCTAACCTTGTATATTGTATTTAGCTTTTACTTCTTTGAGTAGTCATAGGGAAACGAAGTACCCCAAGTTTGCAGTGTAGGACTGAAGTAATTTTCACGGTGAGTCACCATGTAGGCCACCTTTGTTAGGTAATTTGCTTTGTGTGGCATGAAGGGAAAGCCAAGAGTGTGTGAAGCTAAGCAGCAGTGCAGAAGTGCGCTTCCCTTTGAAGTGCTCCAGTAGTGAATGTGTTAAATGTTTTCATCAGAGACTTAAAAAAAAAAAGGCACTTGGTGGATCTGCAAGAAAAAGTTTACTTTATTAAAGAGAGTGAAAAGCCTCTCACACCTAAGAGAGTAGGAAAGAAAGAGCACACCGTTCCCTTTTCCACAGCTTTTAATCTTAAAAACAATGTAATCCTCAGTCGCTGGGGGCAGAGCCCACTGCGGCGGGACCTCCCTCGCAAAACTGCCGGGATCCTCTCGTTTCCACCCTGAGCAAAGCAGGCGCCTTCTCGAAAGGAGTGAAAGCCTCCCAGCTCGTCCGGCGGCACAGGAATAGCCATGTCCACGGGGAAGATCTGCTGCCTGGTGCTGCTGACCCTGGGGGTGCTGGCGGTGGCCGTGACACTCGTGGTCATCCTGACCCAGCCCCGGTGCGGTCCCCAGCGCTACCTGCACGGTGCCGTGGCCGCCGACACCGAGACCTGCTCTGACATCGGCCGGTACGTGCACCGACCTCTCGGCTTTTCGGGTCGCTTGTCGTGGATGTCGTGCCTCGCACTGACAGGCAGGACAAGTTCTAACCACGGGAGCTCTCCGGGTTTCTGCCCCGTGCCCGCTTTGGGGCTGAGCAGCGATGCTGGCCCCTGCGTGCTCTCCGTCCGGCACTGCAGCAGCTCGGGGGGCAGACGGAGCCCCTGCTCTGCGGTTGATGCTTATTTTCATTGTCCAGTGTCGCAAAAAATTTGCAACTCTGCAAACCCATGGATTTTTGGAAGGTATAAATATTTACAGTATACAAACACAAGGCTATTTTTAAGTGGGGAAGCGGGAAATTTACTCTTCACAGCTTGGTGGTAGGTCGGGTAAGTGGCTTAGAAATAAATTAGGAAGTTAGAGGAGCTTGCAGAGAGCTGCAGCTGGGCTTCGACAGAGGCAAGGAAGGCCAGGCTGAGAGGGAAAGGAGGGCTGGGCATCCCAGTCTTCAGGAGGGGGTATGTTTCTGGAGTGAAACCTGCAGCAGGTGTGTCTGCTATGAAGAAAAAAAACAAAGATCAGATTTAATTGAAATTAATCCAAGACAGTATAAACACAGAAGACATACTTACATCACTGGGAAAGAAAGATGTAAGTCTAAAAAATTCTGCTCCGGTTTGTGTAAAAACCTCTCTCAAACACTTTGACTCCCATGTTATTATTTTACTGTTACTGTTCCTACTGTTATTAGATGTTTGTATACACAGAAGCAGAAGGATTCAAGTTTACACACTGCATGTGATGCTGGATGCTCCAGCAATGGATGCTGGAGCTGTGTGCTCTGCTTTGTGGCTGGAGCAGTGAGATGTGATGTGGTGCCTTCATACCACACTTTGCCATGTCTCTCATGGGATTCTTGCCATGAGGTGCTGACACAGCAATGACCAAGACCTAAAGCTGAAACCAAGTGTCAGGAAGGGTCTGGAAGGAAAAGCTGTTATCAGATGTCTCAGATACGCCACTGAGATATCTCTACAGAGACTTTTGATTGAGGGTCATGTGTCTCTCTAGGATTTTGCATTACAATTAGGTTCGTTGCAACAGTGAACCCCATAAAGGGAGCCACGTAATTGGACAGGGTGTGGTCTGGATAGACGAGAAAGGTAATGGTTGTAAATTCCCCAGGCATAATTTACTGGGAAGTGGCAGGTCTCTGTCTGAAAGTGGGTGAGCCATGCTCAGAGAGCCATGTGTGGCTTAACAAGAGCCAGCTCAGAGAGTGTTTTCTGCTGTGTTTCAGTCTCCAGAGAGGCTGGAGAGAAAACTGCCGAGACTGGGGGCCAGTCTGCAGACTGGGATGAAGATCTTCATCAGGGAATGCTCCTCCAGGCACAAGTGTTTCTGGGGACATGGTGAGGGGTGTATGGCATTGGTTTCAGAGGGACAGTGGCAGGAGGATCCCAGGACACAAGGCAGTACAAGATGTGAGACCTCTTACACAGTTGTGTTTGTGGCTGGGAAACTTGCGTGAGAATTTGGGGCTTTTCAGGATTTTGGAGAAATGTGCCTGACGCATACGATAAGGTCTTAACGCATTGCATTTAAATGTATACCATATGATCTCAAAGCTTCTTTTAAAAGTTGTTTTTCACTGCCAGTTATCCCAGAACCACGGCTTTCCCTGGCACCAGGCTTTGTACATGTGCTGCTTCATAGCCCATAATTCAGGGGCTCTGGGGAGCACTATCCCGGCTCAGTGTAGTGGTCCTTCTTCCCTCTTTTCCCAACCTTCCAACTTGCTGTCTTGGGCGTTCTGCAGGGGTGGTTCAGTTTCTCAGGAAGCCCCAATTTCCTTCCTCTTTTGTCATCAATTAAAAGCTTCAGTGTCAGTAAAACACCAGGCAGGGACATTGGTGTGGGGAGTCCATCCCCTGCTGCGAGGAGATGGATGGGCAAGCCTGAGCCTCAGTCTCCAAGTTCAGAGCTACAGCCAGGGAGCAGTTTGCTCCAGGGAGGCCAAAAACCATGCAGAACCCAAACAGAAAGCCCCGTGGTTCCCCATCATTTCTTTTCTTCCCGCTGGTCCACATGCCGTTGCCTTACAGGCAGTGCTTCTGAGGCATTTACGGAAACAAAGGAAAGCCACAATCAGTGCTCCTGCTGGCAGCATCCTGTTCCCAGCCCCAGCAGGACCCAGCCATATCAATGGATGTAAAATAAACAGCAGTCCCTATGTTTGCTCTGTGTTCCCGTGCAGCCTCTGGGAGCAGTTGCACTGCAATTAATGAACAATTCCGCTTTCCCTTCTGGCTTTGCCTTATCTGAGCAATAACCCAATAAAACAGTCAGAAACCTTCAGAGCAAACACAATGCTGGCTACTGGCAGGGTGTGCAGAAAACGCCACCCCATTTCCACTGTAAGGAAAAGGTGTTTTTGAGCTGTGTTTGATCCCTCAAGAAGAACTTGTTGAGACACATTTCTGTAGCAGAGCCTCATTGCTGTCAGCAGCATGAGGATGTCTTAATGCCTGTGTGTTCTTTGATATGGCTGTGCCTAGTTAGAAACGGTTGTGGGGTTTTTATTGTTTGGGTTTTTTTCTATTTCTTTGTTGGTTTTGTCTTTGGGAACACAGGGAGAGGTGGGGGTGTTTTTGTGCGAATATCAGATAAGCCCAGGAAGGCACACTGAAGGATTGTAGGAGCAATGAAGTTACTATTGTGCTAATTGACACGTTAAATCTCAGGAGTTTGCTTCACATCGACCCATCATTCCTGCTTCACTGCCCCATCCAGCTGACCAGCATATGCCTTTTTACTGGGAATAGCATTTGGGGACCTTGGGATCAGTTGTTTTGTTCCCAGAGTGTGGAAAACTCTCTCCAGTGCATCCTCCTCCACACCTGGGAACTCCTTGCTGTCTCTTTTTGTTAACAGCATTTGTGAGCAGCTGCAGTCCTCTCTGTCCACAGCTCCCAGAATAAGACCAGCCTCACACAGCTCTGGTCCCTGGTTGCTCTTTCCTCCTGCAGATTGCCCGTTCTTTCCCTCTAACTGTTCCTTCTCACTCCCACAGAGAAAGGCTGCTCTCTGTGCTCTCACATCCCACACTGCTGCCTGCTCTCCTCAAGCTGGGGCTGCCTTGCAGGGGGGCATTTTCATGTGGTTCCTCCATTCTGTCATTCCTGGATTGTAACATTGTCTTTTTTCTTCCTTTTCCACCTCAGGGACATCCTGAAAAGTGGAGGCACAGCTGTGGATGCTGCCATCGCTGGCTTGATCTGCACCTCGGTGATGAATCCTCAGAGTTCGGGCCTGGGTGGTGGGGTCATATTTACCATCTATAATGCCAGCACAGGTATGGGCCAGCCCTGGCCTCTCCATTGTGCCCTGTCCCTCTGCAGACCCCCAGCTCCCATGGAGAAGTCAGAATCCTTCCTGTTCTCTCAGAGGAATATTTTGAATATAAAAGCTGCATGCAGGCTTTTCCTCTTAGCCCAGAGCATCCATCACAGGGAGCTGTGACCATCATTCCACAGCAAGGACGTGTGTGGGGAGGAAAGAGCTCTGATATAAAATGAATTGAGTTTGCCTCTCCTACCCCCTCCAAAGCAACCCCAAATTCCAAAGTTGCACAGCAGACTGCAGCAAGGTGTGAGCAGTGCTGAGATGCCACTGGCTGCCATGGCATCAGAAAGGAGCAGAGTGAGGCATGTGCTGGAAATGAGCTCATCTGAGTCCTTGGGCTGGGACTTCAGGGGCTCATCCTGCCCCAGCAGCTCGGGCACTGCCTGCTGACATGGGGGCTGCATCTCACTGCCCTCACTGGCATGGGAATTCCCAAAGCAGCAGGGAGACCTGTCCCAGGAGATGCCTCTTCACTTCAGAATCTGACAGTGTTCAGGGCCTGCTGGGAAGCCTTCCTGTGTTTGGCTTAACCTCTAGTGTTGTATTCTTGCTTTTATGTTTTTAATGTGTTGGGTTTTTTTTTAAGTCTTGGCTTCCAAAAGCCCCCAGAGCTTATAGATCTAAATAGTAAAATCAACAACGAACACAGGAACAATATCAGAATTTTAAAACCCCTGCCAAGTAGTCTAACAGAGTCATGAATCTGGAAGTCCTTGGGTGTATCTTATGCAAGAGCTTAATTTGGCAGAACACCTATATTTTTCTTTCTTTCCTTTTGGCGTAGACATGTAACTTTCTTTCCTGACAACAGTCCTCTTCTGCTACCTGGGTTATGCTGCACAGAGCCACCCATGGCCCTGCACAGTTCGGGTGCTTGGTACACCAGGGAGCACTGTGGGCTCCTGCAGCACAGCTGGCTCTGGGAACTGTCACAGAAAAGGATAAATTACAAGGCAGAGAAAGAGGCAAAATGATAGGCTAGACCTGAAACACAAGTGCATACAAGTGCGGGTTTTGTTGGGTTTGGCTTTGTTTATATTTTCCTTTTAAGCTCCCGGATACATAGAGGGTCTTTCAGTATCACCATTTTGCTTATAAACACAATGGACCCGCCTCACCATCACTTGGTAAATGGCCGTCCAAGGAACCTGAGGCTCATGTTATGTCTCTGACACGTCCCACCTGCAGAGGAAGTGCAGGAGCCTAAAAATCAGGTGTGGAGCAGCACGTCCCAGCCCATGCCCCAGGCCAAGAACCCTGGGGGCAACCTTAACTGGCTGGAGACAAGTCCTGGCCTTGTCCCTGCACCTTCATTGTCTCCAGGTAGGTGCTGTTTGGTTTGCTCTAAATAAAAGCAAGGGAGCAAAGGACAAGGTGTGCCAAGACCTGACCCTGCAGGTGTGCTGGACACACTTGGCAGAAATCTCCATTTAGGGCAGCTGAGCACGTGTGGTGCTACAGCTGAAAATGTGATGTTCACCTGCTTCAGGAAGACTGTAATGCCTTTCCCTCTTCTCTCTAGGAACAGTCGAGGTGATCAACGCCCGCGAGACAGTCCCACAAGCGTTTCCTCACAATTTACTGTCTGCCTGTGGCCCTGGTTTCCCCATTGGTAAGGACACAGCCTGGGCCATGAGGGATCTGTGCCCTCCTGGCGTGCACAAAGCTCAGGGTGGGGAACTGAGAACCTCGCCGATTTTATCTGGAGTTTCATTTAATTTAGCACACCCTACCTGGATTGGCTTTTGCAAAAGCAGGAAAAAATACTGGGTCCATAACTAGGTAACACTGGCAGCCTGACCAGCGAGGAGGGTGGGGAGCCAGCATGAGGAGAAATCACAATGTAATTTCTCTTTATAGGAAGTCTGCAGTTCAAGACCAGATTTCCCAAAGGACTCACTCATTTCCCAGCAGTTCTTACAGAGAAAAATAAAGTCAATAACTGCTCAGACTTTCTGGAAATGAAAGAAATCAATCTAATGTGCTTGTCCGTGTCCATATATTGGGGAAGCACCCTGAGATGTTGGGATTTGGGTTGCTGGGCTCAGGCACTCTTGCTTTAGCAGCACATCCTGGATTCTCCACATTTCTTGCTGCGTTCATTCTCCTTTCCTAGCACATTTTCTTTTGGTGCATGTCCTAGTTCCTGAAGGAGGTGTTCTTATCCTTGGGAGAAGAGCCTGAAAAGGAATCAGAATAACTGGTCGGAAGGGACAGCTGGAGGTCTCTGGTCCAGCTCCTGCTCAAAGCAGAGTGATATCATGGATAGCTCAGGCTGCTCAAGGCCTCATCCTATGACATTTTTGAGTTTCTCCACAGATGGAGAACTTCACAACTTCACCTGCTCTGGTGTCTGACCAGGCTCCACAAGTGCTTTTTCTCCAATATCCAGCTGCCACCTCCCTTGCTGCAGCATGTGCCTGTTGTCTGTTTTGCTTTCACCTCATCTCTGAGTCTGGTCCTGGCCTCCCTATACCCCTTCTGTTGGATAATGGAAGAAATAAGTGAACAGACAAGGGTAATAAACAAACCAAGCCTGCTTTTAGAAGCCTTGGTTGTCTCTACAAACTCACACTTCCATTGGAGTGCTTTGCCAGTGACTTACTGGGTGTGACACTGGTGTTGTACTCTTCAGGTCCCCCCTGGATTGCTGTGCCAGGAGAACTCCGTGGGTATGAGGAAGCCCACAAGCGACATGGCCGCTTACCATGGAAAGACCTGTTTGAACCAACCATCAAGCTCCTTTCAGAGCCACTTGTCGTTTCCCCCATTGTGGACAAAATAATCAATCACCCAAACTTCTCCATTCCAGGAAAAAGCCTGTGGTAAGACCCATGAATGAAACTGCAGCTTGAGAACCACTGTTCCCTCAGCCTCAGACCCTTCCTCTGAGATGCTGATGTGGAGCACAGGCTGCTGATGTGGAGCACAGGCTGCTGACGTGGAACATAGGCTGCTGCTGTGGCTTGTGCTCAGGGAATACTTGCTATGGAGTGGGAGGGAATCACAGAAGTGGATTTTTTAAGTGGTGGTGGTGTTTTTTGTTTTGTTTTGGTTTTTTTTTTAATTTAGAGTGGCTTGGCACAGCAAAACAGTCTGCTAAGCGTGACTACTGGTGAGGAAGAGCTGGCACTCTTGTGGCCTGCCTCCATCTGTGTGGAAATTGTCCCCTGACAGCAGCCACCTGTTTGGAGAAGCCCCTCTGACCTGAGACATGGCTAAAGTGTTGCATTATGTGGAGGAAACTGTCTGGGGAAGGAGTGCCTGGTGCTGTGGGTCACATTTGGCTGAGAGCTTTCCTCCCCGTAGCCTGTGGGGTAGCACTGCCTTGGAAAGCACACGATAAACTAGTGCATAAAGTAGTGCATAAACCAGATCAGCTTCAGGCAGGACAAAGAGATTATTGGCCCTGGGGAGAGAGCAAGCACGTGCAGTAAACTGATGAATGTTCTTCTTTAACAGCCCACTGCTATGTGTTGGTCAAAGGTTTCTGAAGCGTGGAGAGACCTTCAGGTGGCCGGCGCTGCTGCGAACACTGCGAGCTGTAGCAGAACATGGAGCTGCGGCATTTTATGAGGGACAGATAGGAAAGGCTCTGGTGGAGGATATCAGGAAGGCTGGTGAGTAACAGCTGTAGTCAGTCCTGATAGGCCTTTTCCCAACCATTGGCTGTCAGTGAGCCTGTACAGGGGAAAGCCAACACATGCCTTTGCCTTGCTGCTTGGGCTGGTGCCTGGTATGGGAAGAGGCCACCTTTGTCCAGTTCTTATAACTGAAGCAGCACTGAGACCACCTGCTGCTCTGGCCTTCTCCTCCCAGTGCTCATGCAGTGGCCTGTCCAATTCCCTCAGGCTTTGTGACATCCTGTGGGGTTTGGCAGCAGATGAGGACCCGTGACAACAGCACTGTGCTTGGTGGAAGGAATTTGGGATGTACAGGGATGGCTCTTCACAGTGCCCTGATGTAGCCAACCCACAGCCCCAGGACAAGTTGATGTGCTAATGCCAGCCCCTGGTTCTCTGTTGAAGGGTCCGGTCTCTCACTGGAGGACCTTCAGACGTACCGAGCAGAGGTGTCCTCGGCTCTGAACATCACCCTCAACAACCACACCACGGTGTTTGCTCCGGGACCACCCATGGGAGGTGCAGTGCTCATGTTCATCCTCAAGGTATTGGAAGGTAAATTCCTAATGGAAAAGGGGGAGCAAGAAGTTTTTCAAAGTGTTGCTCCAGAGTGGTAAAATAGTAATGGGCAGAAATGGAGTTGGGAGCAGCAGTGTGACTGTGCTATGCAGCAGGGTGATGAACTGGCTCATTCATACAGTGGATCAGCATCACTGTAGCTGCTGCAAAGGTCGAAGGTTACACGATTTTCCCAAGGCTTCAAAAGAAATTGAAGTAATAGTGAAAATTTGTACTTGATTGTTTCTGTGTCCATATCCTGCTAAAGCATAGGGGATACTTAGTAAGAACTGGGACTTAAAAGGAAGCTCCTTTCAGCTTTTTTTTTCACACTTGAAAAAAAACTTGCCTTGGGTCTATTAACAAAATTATATCATCTTACTCCATAGACTATAAACTCCATAAAGCATCACTGGCAACACCTGAGGAGAAGATAGAAACCTACCATCACATTGCAGAGGCCCTGAAGTTTGGCAACATGCTAAGACCCCACATGAGTGACCCAGCCTTCTCTAGAGCTCAGGTGAGCTGGCACAGTGCATGGGTACAGTGCTACAGTACCAAACAACACTGGCACTCCTGCTTTGCAGCTGTGGAAGGGAAGAAAATACTTGGAGCTGCTAGTCAAGAGCAGTGTGGCTCAGTTGTTTTCTGGGGTGAGAGCGGCTTGGGACCTATTGCTGCCAGTGAAGGCCCCAAGCTCTGACTATTGGGGCTGAATCCCCCAGGCTTCCACGTGCCCAGAGACGTGCCCGTGCTGTGGCGGCTCCAGCTCAGTGTCCTTGCTGTGGTTGCAGGTGACTGTGGGGACCATGCTGTCTGACAGGATTGTTGAGCTCGCCAGGCACCGAATAGACGCTCGTGGTGACCACCCGCTCAGCCATTACAACCTGATGGAGTCCATCTACAACGGCGAATACAGAAGCATGGGCACAAGCCACATCTCCGTGCTCGCTGCAGATGGCAGTGCCGTGTCCGCCACCAGCACCATCAACTACCCGTGAGTAGCCGAGGGGGGGTGACTGAGTCACACAGGCCATGTGCCAGGTTCACGGGGTCCTTGCAAGGGCTGTTTGCCAGAAATACAAACCCCTTGGGCTTCGCTGATTTCGGCAGCTCCTTACTTGTGAATGCCTTTTCCATATGACAGCAAAGGTCTGTGAGCATCAGCTCCAAGGACCATCACAATTCAGGAGGATGTAAGAACTTGCCGAGCTATTGCTGAGTGTCTGTGGGTTGAGCAAATCCCCATGGGCAATACAATAGTAACAGAGGGTTTGCTTCTGGCATCATCAGCAGCATGAATTCCTTTTGGACACTCTTGCTGGTGCAGTTGCAGGCTGGGAGGAAACAGAGGTAACCCACAGGGTGCCTTGTTCAGTTAATGTCATCAACAACAGGAGAGCCCTGGGCACTGAAAGGCTTCATCTTTACCCCCTGCAGGTTTGGCTCCTTTGTGTATTCTAACCAAACCGGGATCATTTTAAATAATGAACTTGCTGATTTCTGCATAGCAAACAGAAGCATTAACCCAGGTGAGCATTCTCATCCTCAAAATACGGCACGAGGTCAGGAGGTGGATACACAGGCTGTGCACAAGGGGGCAGAGACTACCTGTAAACTACAGGTACTCTTTCCTTTCATAGGCCTGGATGAGAGCAAGTTTGTTCCAGACTAAAAGAGGATAAAGCCCTGTAGAGTGTCTGTGTCTATTCACATATCCCCTTGCATGGACAAACAGGAGTTTTGGATTCTGACCAGAGAAATCAGAAATTTAAAAAAGTGCTGAAGCAGATCACTGATTGATGGGAAGGAGAGGGAAGAAGTGAAAAAACTACTGCTAAGACAGGCCTGCTGACATTTTAGGCTCATCTCTGATTCTAAATATATAGCTGCTGCACAGTCAGTAATGCTGCAGCCTTGCACTGAGCTCTGTAACACAGCAGTGCTGGTGCAGACACAGCTCTATGCAATCAGCTATCCTTGGTGCAGCATCCCTCGGGCCTGCCAGGAGAGGACATCATGGCAGGATTGCTGCCAAGGGTTCCTCAGCTGGGCTGAATAAACTGCAGTGAGCCCTGAATACTTCTGGGATGTCCTGTTCTGCATCAAGAGGATCTTCCTGTTCAGACTGTGCCATAAAGGTCCAGCTTCTTGTGAGACAGGCTTTGGGCACAAGGAAACTCATTTTTCTGGAAGTCTTGAGATTCTTTAGGAAGAAGTAGTAGCTTGGTTTTCTGTGGGAAATACAAGAAAGGTGAGGTAGGCGAACTTGTGTCCTTCCAATCCTTTTAAGAGCCACATGGAAAGGATAATACTCTGTCTCTGCTCTAGGAGAGAAGCCTCCCTCAGCAATGGTGCCTTCCATCCTCATCTCCAAGACAGGAGACATGCTGGTGATTGGGGGAGCAGGTGGGGCCTGGATTATCAGTGCTACTACCATGGTAAGTGAACAGGTGCCACACAGCAACAATTTCCACTGAGCAAGGGGAGCACATACTGTCCTGAACTACTCAGCTCACCTCAGGTCTTGATGCCTTGGTGGCTTTTTTTTAATTTGCAATTTAGAAGTCATAAAGGCTGCAGGCTGGAGGGAAAGCATTCTTGGAATAATTATTATATGTCTGCTTTGTTCTTTTACTTGCTCTGAGCATCTGATATTGGTCCCCATGAAGGCAGGAGACCAGGCTGGTAGCACTGGGAGTCTGGCTCAGTGCAGCCTGTTGAACACTCCAGGTTTGCAGGCAGGGCTTACAGCAGATCTGCTCTGGCTCAGCACCAGTGCAGGGCTTGGCAGCACGTGACCCAGGTTCTTTTTGACTATCTCCAGTCAGGCAGTGTGGGTTTGGTTCATTGCAGGCAATCATAAACAAGCTGTGGTTTGGCTACGACTTGGAACACGCCATTTCAGCCCCCGTCATGCACGCTGAGGGTGACCGTGTCCTCTTCGAGGAGCGTTTCAGTGAGGTGAGTGGCCTTGCTTGGCTCTTCTTGTCTTCTCCTCTTGGTGGAAAACAGATTGCTCTTGTAACTCTCCTAAGTAATCTATATTTTGCCTCTGGTTAAACTCCTTCTTGTTTAAATCTTACTTTCTCAACCTGACTCCACATACACATCCTTCATTTTCACACCTGGCAACGCTGAGACCTCAGGCCCCTGCCCCATTCACCCCATTTCCTCTTCTCTCCCCCCACAGGAAGTTAGGAGTGGCCTGCTGGGAAGAGGACATAAAGAAAAGAAAGATAAATTTGTAATGAATGTTGTGCAGGGAATTTCCAAGGAAGGAAAATGCATCTCCGCTTACTCTGATAAAAGGAAGCTGGGGAAGTCGGCTGGATATTAGCATGGAATGCCATCACAACTCCCAAAGCCACAGGAGATAACTAGATCCAGAACATGCTTCCCTTGGACATGCCCATAACTGCCTGTTCTCACCAGGGTGCCCCCTGGAGCACAGGGCAAAACCTGTGACTACAGCTGATTCCAGCAGACTGCAGGTACCCTCAGGCAATGTAAGGAGAGGTCAGCCAGCCTTGTTTAGAGCTACACCTTCCATTACTTGTGTGATATACTGAAAAACATATTTCTTGAGCACATCAGCTACTCAGAATGAGAGAATAAAAAGTGGGAAAGGAAAATTGGTCCAAACCCCACTGGGAACACTGTGAAATGACCCAGCTGTATCTTCTGTTCCTGCTGGAGTCTCGGTTAACAGTAGAATTGGTTTCTTTCAGGCTGTTGCACAAGAAGCTTATTACTACTGGGGCTCAGCAATGTGAAATACATAACTATTTTGGCTATGAAGACTACAAGGAGTATCTGTAGGGTCAGGATTTTAAAATCTGAAGCATCCAGGCTTAGAGGGTGGGTTTGGAAAGAGAAGAGAGCAAAATTCCACACTCCCCCCTTCAGTTTTCCAATCTAAAGAAGCCCTATTTTCCCAAAGGTGGCAGATGAGATCACACCATAGCACAAGTGCTGCCCTGCCCTACTGCTCTCTGCCCTGGGGGTGCAAAGGACCCCACAAGCTCAGAGTAACTGTGCCAACACTTGGTCCAGCCCTGCAATGTGGTGATTTTGAGAATAGGGACGTCCCACGGGACGATGTGAATTCCCTGCTCCTGACACAGACAGGCTTCAGCTTAGCTCCCCAGGGGCACCTCTCCCTGTGGTGAGAGGGGTCCCACTCTGTGCCAGCTCTCCCTCCTTAGTGCTGGTAGGTCAGTTGTTTGGGAAGGCAGGTGAGGACTGCAGTGGCAGCACTGCTCGTTTTGGAAGCTTTAGAACTTTCTTCAAAATGCAAAGGAAACCCATGATCAGGAGATGTCAGTTGTAGCCACGAGCTCATCCCGGCCAAGCAAACACCAGGACTGCTGGGGAGTGATGCAGCACCATCAAGCATTAGCAGAATTCTCTTCTCCCACAGCTTATGCACGTGCTCCAAATCCCTGTTTACCGCAGTTAGTCTCTAATGTTCCCTTCAGATCACAAGGAGGACATTGTAGGACTCTAAGAACTATCACAGAGAGAGAAAACTTCTGGAAAAGAGACCTGAACTCAAGCACCTGGACTCAAAAGGTCTTTTGCAGTTTATCCATAACACTGCCCTGCTCAAAATGGCCCAGAATCACACATTTAAACAAACAAACAAACAAAGACAAAACCCTCAAAGCTCTCCTCAAATACGCAGGGGCAAATTTTTGGAATCCCCCAAAACTCCATTTTCTGAAAGTTATGAGCCTGACTGCCCTACGGGCACAGTGTTGTGTGTGTCTGGAAGTGAATCAAACCAGATCCAGGCCTAGCAGAGCACTCCCCTTCACACACATGGCCCATGGGACTCAAACAAATACAAACAAATACAGTCCCTCTACAAACACCATAACAAGCACACTCTATTAAAAAGCACAAATTAAACAAGGCCAGCTCGGTTTTACGCCAGTGTTCTTACCCATGAAGCCTGTCCAATACAGCCATCAGTTCACTGAAACCTCAGCCTTCACTTGCATTTTAATGATGGTCTGAGTGAAGCTGCCCAGAATCAGACATGTTTTCTTTCAGAACCCCAAGGACTGTAGTCTGACCACCCCTGCAGCAGAGTTAATGATTGCTACATTACCAGATCGTAACCGCAGGCTCTTAATCAAGCATCTGGAAGACAAGTTATTTCTGTACAGAGCCAGCTCCATGCACTCCTTTGTCCAAGTGGAATTTGTCTTCAATCCCCTAGTTCAGGAAGTTCTACTGGTTTCTCCGTTAGAACTGTTACTCAAGCCATGGAATTGGCCCCGTGAGACAGGATTACAGTGCTGGTGAATGGGAAGAGAGAAAGGGAATGGGCCCAAAGGCTGAGGGGGGTAGTATTTATGTTCATTTGGAAGGGGTTACATTGACTGTGACTAACAAAAAAACCTCAGTCTACTTAATTTGCTGAAGTTTTCTACTTTGATTAACTCCCTTACCCAGGTGCCAGTTCCTGGGTGCACTGATTCCAGCGACAGAAATAACACCCCAACAGCAGAGCTGTGGCAGGGGAAGCACTGTCAGGTGCCAGACACCATCTGCAGTCACTGCAGCTCCAAACAGACTACCTAGACTGGAGGCTGGCTTTAGCAAGATCCAGCTAACACCACTGAGCTCAGAGCTCACAAACAGCAACCAGGAGTGGCTGGTTGGAGACAGGGAGACTGGCTTCCCTGTTAGGCTTCAGGGCCACCTTCAGCAGTGCCCTGGACACTCTCCATCATGTTTCACCACAGAAAACCCAAGTCACCAAGTAACTGAGTCTTCCATTATCTTCACTTCTGACACACTTTAGGGTAAAGCACCAGAGTACTCCAGTCCTGTCACCTCTCCAGTGCAGTAACATCACAGCTTCTGCCTACCCCAAAGACATGGGAATATTATCTGTAGTCCAGTGCTCCCTACAGTTTAACTTCTTTGCTACTAACTTTGCAACTGAGCCAAGTGAGCAGTTTTAAAACCCACCACAGCTTTAATTTGCAAGCCAGAAAGGAATGGGACTGCAGACCTCTCACTGCAGCAGAGACTTCCAGTCCTGTAGTCGTCACTAACAGAACACCTGGTGAAGCTGAGGAACTGTACCTGCCTTGGCACCTCTGCTCTTGCCCTGCCACCTCCTCACTGCTGCTGAATCTGCTTGAGTCAGGAGCCTCCCAGTTTGGTCTCTCCCTGTTCATGCTCCTCCCAACAATAGAGTGTTATTTTTTTACTGAAATCAACTTACACAGACTTTCAAAGCGTCACTGTACAGAGGCTACTCTATTTTCTAATGAAGTCTATAAATTATACTTTTAATAAAGTGTTTTGAAATCTGTCTGGGAATTTCTCCTCTAAACCAGTTGCACAAGCAGTTGTTTGAGAGAGGACGTCCGTGCAGGTGTTCCCAGCAGTAACAGCTGTTCATTCTGGAGCCTCAGAAGGCTGCTGGAGAAGCTGAGGAGCAGCAGACTGCACGAGCAGCACAGACACAGCATGAGCAGTGGAAAGTGGTATCTGAGCAGGTGGCAGAAGTGCCTGCCCTGTGTACAGATATGTTATCCCGTAATTACAGCTTGCAGAAATATTCATAGGTTTTTTTTTTTTTTTAAATGTAGAATTTAAGTGCAAGCTGTAGCCCAGTTTAGTTTTAAGAAATCATTCCTCTGTAGTGATACTGCTAAAAACCAACCAAATCCATTTCTGCAGAGTCAAGAACTCAGAGGCATCTAGAGGAACAATTGTAAACAGAAGTGTTTATATCCATGGCAAAATCTGAGCTTTCCATGAGGGAAGTTTTGTAACACAGGTTATAAATAATAGGGGAGTTTTCTGACTAGCAAGAAGAAATCTAGAAACAAAAGAACAACTGCTGCCTCATGAACTGTTTGAGGCAGCTCAGCAGGCAGTTACTCAGACTTGTTTCAGAAAGCATGATTCTCCAACAGTCACTTCCCAGAAACCAGTTCCCTTCCAGTTTCAGAATAACTATAGTGTCTGTAAAGTTTCAATAAGCTTATTTTTCTGTGCAGTTCTTTTCTTTATTTCCCAGATCACACTCAGCCAAAGAGAGAGCTCAGCTAGTCCCAGTTCCAAAGGGCAGGTATTTCCAACAAACAGCAGCCAATGCTGTTCCACACACAAACTTGTACCAGAGCTTCCCAAAATGGCCCTGCAAGCTGGATGTGAACAGCAGCCTGACACTGTAATTCTGCTGCAGAATTACAAGAAGTAGAAAAGTGAAAGTCTCAGTTCAGGAATAAAAGGGGACAGGAAAAGGAGCCAGAGCACCCTCCAGGCAACGTTTGGTAAAAGCCACTCATTTAGTTCAACTGATATAAGCAAATATATATATCTAAGTCATGACTCTGATTTAAGCATGACCTAGCTATCACTTTATTCCTTGAAACTGGGCTGTCATTTCCAGACACTCCTAGGAAAGAGAGGGTGCCTGATGCCTAGAATTTCAGCCTTTCATTTTCTCTTCTGTATTTTAAGGTTCTTACAAACTCCCAGGAAGTTTCAACAAGCTGAATGGAATAATTCAGTTACTTTCACTTGTGTTTCAAGGATTTCATAAACATCCCTAGAGCCTGACAACATCCTGGAACATTCAGTTTTGATCTTAGACTAAGTTTGTGATGAGATGTAATTGTCCATGCCGGCAGGTGAACGCCAAAGCCCCTCATGCAGATACAGATACTCTCAGCTGCTCCATATCAGACAGGGATTTCTCAGAGGTCATTAACTGGTTAATGGTAACTTACCTTCAAACAAGAGTAGCTGCAGTGTGCCCTTTTTCAGAAGTTTCATTCCCCCAGGCTCTGGTATTTCAGGTCTGCAGTACGACATGGTAAAAAGCAAACTGGAGAAAAACAAGCTTGTTTTGGATATTTAACTATCATTGTTTACTCATCAAAAGGACTCATCAAGGACTTCATCAAAGAAGAGAAGAAAAGAGAAAAATCTCCAGAGGAGCTTCTTTCACACAGACTCACCATCCCTTTTTGAGTAGCAACTGTGCAGGCAAGAAAAGTGTGTGACTCCGTATTTATTTATTTTAGTTGTGCTCAGAGTTTTACAGGCAGCATCTTCCCTTTAGACCTTCTCAACAGAAATATAAAAAAAGTTTGAAGCCATTTCCCCATTTCCCCACTCACCTCCAATAATCAACTGGGTGAAATGCAGAAACATCTTTTGTTAACAGAGTGGTGAGTTTGGCTTATCCCAGTCTAGAGCTGGGCTTTCTGCTATGGCACAGATCTGTTAGTTTGCAACTTAGAAAACCCAGTCCCCAGAGTCCTGTAACTCTCACCTACTCAACAGGAAACAAACATCTTCTCTAGCAGTGACAGGGACATTCCTGGTAGCTGACACTGTGCAGGGGAAACACTTCCTGCAGCTTGAGCGGGTTGGACTTTCTGCAGAAACTGGGCACCCAATCTGTGTTCATGGGATGGAGAGGAGGCAGGGAACAAACTCTTCAAGGCAGAACAGACTCTTCAAGTAAGTACTGCACGTCCTGGTGGACATGCCTGTCTTAGCAGACGGCTGTGGCATGAGGCACTTCGGTCATGGCTGTAGAAAACTGTCCCAGTTCCGTCAACAGAATCACAGGTAAATGTGTTCTCTTTCCTGTGAGGAGTCCCTGAGTTGCAGACCTAAAGGATCTTCCCCCCAAACACACCCTGGTGTCACTAGACCACTGAAAGAAGGAGCCCAGCCACGTCAGTAGCCTGCAGGGAAGCCGCCTTTCCGGGAATCGGAGGCCGCAGCCCACCCCTTGTCCGTTCGGAGGATGGCCTGCACCACCGCGCCGCC